TCTGGTCTGACGTGACGGATGCACCCGGACGTGCTTGGGCCTCCCCATATCCACCCAAGATTTTGGTTGGATATGAGGGTGTCGGTTAGCCCAGACTTATAGGGCCGACCTAAGGCGTCCGTCCGGGTCAGGTTTTTTTTAACCGCGCCATCTGCCTGGGCATATAGCGGGGTTGGGGAGCCCGGCTGTAAATACTCTGAGAAAGTGAAGTCCCTCCCTTCCGTTGAGCCATTGCCTTGATCGAATGTCCCCCACATGAGCGTTGGCAACGTGAGGCTGGTAGAGGGCCCACCATGCAGGGCGTCACATTTTTGCGTAGGAAGGGCGCTACACGTGGTGCAAAGGGGCCATACCAACGATATTATTTTCCCCTTTGTTCTTAAACTTTACTTTCTTTTCTTTTGTGGATTTTGAAAACGTCAAACTTTAGATGTTCTCTGAAAATTTGATAGTTTGAATCTAAAAGTTTAAGTTTCTGAATATTTCAAATTTTAAAAGTTTATATTTTTTTAAAGTTGAAACTTGAAAGCTTCAAACTCTAGAGCTTTAAGAATCCATAAAATTTCAAATTAAGAAAGCCAAAGTAAGATTATTCTGAAAGTTAGGTACTACAGACTCAAAAGTCCCAAAAAGAAAAAAAATCCTGACGTGTTAGAAAATGAGTGTCCGCTCGGTGTACCGTGAGAACATGCATTAGGGCACCTCCAATAGCTGTGAAACAACGGTTTGTAGAATTTGCCACATAGGATATTTCATGATGTGATAGATTATAAATGATGAAAAAGAACAAGGTGTATATACATGAACCAACAACCCTTGCACAAACTCTAATGTGGAATGAGAAAGCAAACTTATAGAGTAAACTAAATACACTATGTTCTTTTTACGAAAAAAGATCCAGATCTATTATAAAATTTCATCAGAAGTACAAAGCACCCCAAACGTAATGAAAATTACATCGAGGTCTCTAGACCATCGAACGACCACTACCGCCGCTAGAACGAGCCGCTGATGCACCATTGTCGCCGCATTCCTACCGAAGCCGGCTTGACATTGTCGATGACAGTCGGGAAGTCTTCAAGCATGTGCCCATAAGGATTTTTTTACTCGCTAGAAATTGTTCACTAATGGTCTCTTCTTTGCAAATAACACATCCTTTGTACCCACTTGTAGTCTGGCAGGACTGGTATCTATATGCGGTATAATCACTGACCGTTTTTAAAGACATTGCTTTTGGTTTGAAGTATCTTTGTTTGTCAGCATCTCAAATCCAAAGCCCCCTTTACCCAAAGTGTTTCTAGATCCTTGAGTAGTTGGTGATACATGCATGTTAAGATCCATGCCAGGTTGCTTAGGCCTTGGATCAACATTGCCAGGAGTATGCACTTCTACTTCATGGAACCCACGGCGGAAGGTTGTAGAAGCAAACAACCACAGGACATGTGATGGGTCTACTTTTCAAGTTACCGAATGGATTTCCATCGATATTCATACCAATCATTAGATTTTTTTGGTCATCACCAAAATAGTCTTTGAACTTACTTTTGACTCACTAGTAGAAAAACACCTAATAGTCCCGGTTAGTAAGGGCCTTTAGTCCCGGTTCAAACACGAACCGGGACCAATATGCCTCCACGTGGTCCTGTGCGCCGAGCCCAGTCAGGGGGCCTTTGGTCCCGGTTGGTGGCTCCAACCGGGATCAAAAGGCATCCACGCGTCAGCATTCCAGTGGATGGGGTTTTTGT